ATTATTATTATTATTATTATTATTATTATTATTATTATTATTATTATTATTATTATTATTATTATTATTATTATACCCTTAGTTCATTTTACATGTTAATCTAAACAGCTAATTTTTTCAAATATTTTTTACCAACCGTTGATATAATTCGCTGGTCAAATCCGCTAACGCTAACCGCTAACTATTGATTGTCAAACAAGGACATTGCGAGATAGTTCTAACTTTGATTTGTTGTAATCCCTCAAGTAGTTAATATGAGTGACTTTATTAATTATATATATATTTTTTATTTTTTCATGGTATTAATAAAATACTTAGTAAGTAAATATATAACATTATTTTGTATTATAACTTTGATACTTAATTAAAAAAAATAGTGCACAAAAAAAGATAATAGACAATGTAGTGAATATAATCAATTGATGAATTTGATGTTAGACTAAAATATCACATGCATCATAATTATGTGATCACAGGATCGACTAACCTCCAGCCATAGCTCTTTACACGGTTGCACGATCCGGACTGCTGCAGAGGTAACGAGTATTTTGTCTCTCACTTTACTCAGCTCTCTCTAGATGGTGTATGAGGTATGTATTGTGAGCAGTGAGAGGACTAGTGACCTTATATAACCACTGGCCATCATTGTGGTTGATTGTCTTTAGGTCTCCTAAACCCTAACCAGACTCCTAATCATAATGGTAGTCTAGTTATTAGGTTATTAGTGTTGCACCACATATCAAATACTGAATATTATCATAACTTATCCTAATGTTATAATAATAGTAACAGATAAACGTTACATTCTCCCACTTGGTGCAAGCACTACCACTCAATAACAGAAAAACACCAACCATAATGATATGTTCTCATTAGCACGAGTAGTATCCATTATGATCAAATGCAAACTGCCATTGGGCACTTAATTAGGAAACAAAACCCAACGAAATAAACCCTATGTTTATTCCAAGTCCCTGAAGTACATTTTCTCATCAATATGAAGCAAATGAAGGTGTACACACTTAATTGAGAAAATGTCTGAATGCCAAAGAATTTTAAACTGAATGTATATACAAATTCCATAGTGAGAAAAAGTCCCATTTTCTGAACCAGATCCTTGAATTTAACTGAAGGCATGCATTTAGTCAAGGGATCTGCTGACACCAACTCAGTATGAATGTGTTCAAAGAATACAACTTTATTTTTGACACACTTCCTAATTGCTAAGAACTTGATGTCGATGTACTTAATTCGACTCCCACTTTTGTGGTCTTAGCTAGGAAGACTGCAGCTGAGTTGTCACAGTAGACTTTCAATGGCTTAGATATAGAATCCATAATTCTAAGCCCAGAGATAAAATTCTTTAGCCAAACACCCTATGGAGTTGCCTCGAAACTGGAAACGAACTCGGCTTCCATGGTAGAAGTAGCTATTAAGGACTGTTTAACACTTCTCCATGAGATAGCCCCACCGGCCATAATGAAGACGCACCCTGAAGTTGATTTTCGAGAATCAACACAGCCAGCAAAGTCCGCGTCTGAATAACCGACAAGATCTAAATTGTCCGTCTGCCTAAACCCAAGCTTGTAACCTTTGGTTCCTTTGAGATACCTTAGAACCTTCTTTACAGCTCCCCAATGGTCCAACCCCGGATTGTGTTGGTAACGCCCTAGCATTCCAACCGCAAAAGCAATATCCGGCCTCGTACAGACTTGAATATATCCAAGACATCCAACTGCTGCAGCATAAGGGATGTTCTCCATGGATTCCTTCTCCAAATCATTTTTCGGACATTGGTCCAAACTGAATCTATCCCCCTTAGATATGGGAGCAGCGTTTGGTGAACAATTTTGCATATGAAATCTCTCTAAAACTTTGTTTATATAGGTTTCTTGAGATAAATCCAGTATACCCCGGGACCTATCTCTACGAATTTTAATGCCGATAACGTAAGAGGCATCACCCATATCCTTCATATCAAAGTTCTTAGAAAGAAATTGTTTCACATCACGAAGCATCCCCTTATCATTGGTGGCAAGTAAGATGTCATCCACATATAAAACAAGAAAGCAAATTTCACTCCCACTCACCTTCTGGTATATACAGTTATCTGAGGGATTTTCAACAAAACCAAATGAAGAAATTACCCCATCGAATTTGAGATACCATTGACGGGAGGCTTGTTTTAAACCGTATATGGATTTCTTAAGCTTACATACTAAATGCTCACCACCCCTAGAAGAGAAACCTTCAGGTTGTTTCATAAAAACCTCCTCTTCTAGATCACCATATAGGAAAGCGGTTTTCACATCCATTTGTTACAACTCAAGATTAAAATGTGCAACTAATGCCAGAATGATCCGAAGTGAATCTTTCTTTGATACAGGAGAAAATGTCTCCTTGTAATCGATTCCTTCTTTTTGAGTAAATCCCTTGGCAACAAGCCGGGCCTTGTATCTCTCAATGTTGCCTAATGAGTTTCTTTTAGCCTTAAAGACCCATTTACAACCAACGGCCTTGGCCCCATTAGGCAACTCAACAAGATCCCAAACTCCATTGTCCTTCATGGAATTCATTTCATCTTTCATGGCTTCCAACCATAAGTCAGACTGTGTACAATTTGTGGCTCGAGAGAATGTTTCAAGATCATTTTCTTGCCCCTATGTCAGATTCTTGTAGATACGAAACATAATAACTAGGATAACTAGGAGCTGTTGATCGCCTTATCAGAGTAGACCGTCTTAAGGTTGGACTTCCACCGCCTTGCACAGGCTGCAGGTCAACTACCTCTTCAGGAACTGGTGGCAGTTCTTGAATTGGTTCAGTCTGCATCGGCTCAGAATCTTGCTGTATATCCTGAGTTGGTTCAACCATTGGTTCGAAATCTAGTTCAGGCGGTTGCTGTAAGTCCTGAACTGGTTCTTCCAAAGGCTGATCCTCAACAGTTTGTGGAATCTGAACGGTAGGTGGTATATCTGCAGGCAGAACTAAAGGAGCACTGCGGATAAGTACCACCAGATGACGTAGAAGGGTGAGAGTCAATATGATCGAAAGAAGGAACTAAGTCCTTAAACCGATCACTCCCACTAATCAAGTCACCTTCAAGAAATTCAGCATTCATTGATTCCACTATCCTAGTAGTATGAGATGGACAATAGAACCTATAACCCTTAGAAGATTGTGCATATCCAATAAAGAAAGCACTAATCGTCCTTGGATCAAGTTTCTTCTCGTGTGGGTTATATATCCTCACCTCAGACGGACATCCCCAAACACGCATATGTTGCAAACTCGGTTTCCAACCTTTGAATAACTCAAACGGTGTCTTAGGGACAGCCTTGGTTGGAACACGGTTTAATATATACGTTGCCGTCTTAAGTGCTTCATCCCACAACGACTTAGGAAACTTGGAGTTGCTAAGCATACTCCGCACCATATCCAGAAGGGTCCAGTTTCTTCTTTCAGCTACACCATTTTGGTCCGGAAAACCAGGCATGGTGTATTGGGCAACAATCCCATGCTCTTGAAGAAACTTAGCAAATAGACCAGGTGCTTGCCCATTCTCATTGTATCTACCATAGTATCTCTCTCTGATACCAACTGTTAGACTAAAATATCACATGCATCATAATTATGTGATCACAGGATCGACTAACCTCCAGCCATAGCTCTTTACGCGGTTGCACGATCCGGACTGCTGCAGAGGTAACGAGTATTTTGTCTCTCACTTTACTCAGCTCTCTCTAGATGGTGTATGAGGTATGTATTGTGAACAGTGAGAGGACTAGTGACCTTATATAACCACTGGCCATCATTGTGGTTGATTGTCTTTAGGTCTCCTAAACCCTAACCAGACTCCTAATCATAATGGTAGTCTAGTTATTAGGTTATTAGTGTTGCACCACATATCAAATACTGAATATTATCATAACTTATCCTAATGTTATAATAATAGTAACGGATAAACGTTACATTTGAATGTAAAGAACTTTTACATTCAAGAAAAATAAAGACAATATAACTAATAAAATTACTTGTCTTAATTAATTTATTGATAATGCATAATTTTTTTTTAATAAAGACATTGTAGGGACAATGTAGCGAATATAATCAATTGATGAATTTGAATGTAAAGAATTTTTATATTGGAGAAAAATAAAGATAATATAACTAATGAAATTATTTCTCTTATTTAATTTACTAGTAGGTGCACCCGCGCGATGCGCGGCTATATATATAGTATGATATATATACAGTATAGAAAATAGAGTATTTGAACCAGAAAAAATTTGAAATGAAAAACTTGTAATTTTATTACACATGTATGAATTTAGTAATTTTATTAGACATTGTTGAAGACTTCATTGTTGAAACAATGTGATGCATGGCTACCTATATAGTACATAGAATATTACGTATAATATAATAAGAATAAGAAACATAGTATTTTAAAAAATACTAAATTCTAAATAATAAATTGTGGAATGTTATTACACATTGTTGAAGACTTTGTTGTACACAAAATTTTTAGTCGTACTAAGATATGATACATTTTTGCCACAAATCAAAATTTTTAAACCCCTTGGGTTACTAACTCTTGAAACAGCTACGCACAATTGGTCATGGTTAAAGACATGTCTTTTCAACAGCAATCCCACTTTAGAAAGTGTGTCCTTGATATTTGTTGATTGTCATGGCACAGGATAGCATCAACGGGAATTGCTTCCGTTGAAATTTGAAAGGCAATCTTGGATCTGACGGTGTAAGTGACATTCTAGGAATTAATGCTCTTGTTCCTGCATCTGTACCGCACATGATCTTGGCTTCCAACACGTGATCAACTAACCTAGTAACAATCAACCATGTACCGTTGCATAATCCTAGTGTGTGATCAATATTTCTCAAGAGCATAACAGGTGACCCAACTTTCAATGTCAAATCATGATTTGGTACTCCAGAACACCTCAGGCCATTCAAGAATTCGGGAGTGTGCAAATCTGCTAACATATCAACACTTGATTCTGACTTACAAACAGGATTTGTTTCAAGTAAGTCCTACCCTCAGCTGGATTATGATCATTCATGTATTGGTTAGTGCTATCTACCACATCCAATGTTGGAGCCAAAATAGCACTATCATTAAGATATGACAGATCGCCAATCCCTAGTCTAAAATGAGGGAAGATGTTATCGACAATTGTAGCAATAGGGTCATCCTCGCACTTCAGCAATAAATGTTCTGGAACTGTAATATCTGACTCACCATCACTTGAATTATCAACAGTTTCGTATCTATTTTGCAAACTCCTCAATCTCTTTATCCTCGATTTGTGATTGTACACTTCTTAGGCGTAGATTATTAGTTAGCCTAAATACTTTGCAAGATTTCCAAAGATATGAGGAACTAATGCTCGCCCGAACAATATCTTGTCTTGTACCCTTTGGAATTACTGGTAGAATCTGCCTGAAATCGCCCCCAAAAACAACTATTTTACCACCAAATGTCATTTAATAACTACTTGGATTTTTGAAGCGCAACAAATCCATCATAGTTCGGTCTAGGGCTTCAAAACAAAAGTTGTGCATCATTGGAGCTTCATCCCATATTATCAACTTGCTTTGAACAATAAGCTCTGCTAATGGACTGCCGTGACTTATGTTGCAAGTGGAATCTTCATTAACAGATATCGGTATGACAAACCGAGAATGTGCAGTTCTTCCACCTGGTAATAAAAGCGAAGCTATGCCGCTAGAGGCAACATTTAACACTATTTCCCTCTTAGACCTTAAAGCGGAGGACAATGCTCGCCACAAAAACGTCTTACCAGTCCCTCTATAACCATAAACAAAGAATAATCCGCCAGCTTTGCGATCAATATCTGTTAACACCTCATTGTATATGAAATTTTGCTCTTCCGTTAACTGCCTTACCAATTCCTGGTTCTCTTTCTCCTGATCCATACAGTCATATGATAATTCTTCTTGTATAAGCCTGTTTGATATAACATTAAAGGCTTCAAAATTAGCTGTTGGCATTTCAGGAAAGTCCTTCAAACTCTTACCATGAATTGATAACAACTTTTCAATCTCCACTAAATAAAATTTAGTATGCATTTATAAAAAATTAATTTTAAACTAAATAAGTATACATACATACATACATACATACATACATACATACATACATACATACATACATACATATATATATATATATATATATATATATATATATATATATATATATATATATATATATATATATATATATATATATATATTGATAGTACTAATTCGTACCGTATACAAGGTGTATGTACTGGATGAATATGAATATGTATAAACAACAAGGAACAACACAAGAAATAGCTCAAATCCCTCCTTTATTAAACTTGTTCTTTTGTGTAAAATATAGAGAGAGGGAAGAGAGAAAGAGCTAAGAGTCAGAGAGAGGGCTCATGGCTCCAAATGGGCCAAAAGATCCCTTCCTCAAAGGGCTAGAAGCCCTTTTAAAGGCCCACTGAGGCGGCGGGTTTGACCCATCTCGGGTTTGACCCGTCGCCTTTGACCCCGACCCGACTGCGAGCGATGGCACGGACCCGGGGTATATAACGTATCAAAAGCCCCCACAGCCCGTGCCCTGACGACGAGTATTGAGGAAGGGTTCGGGCTGGAAAAACGAGCTACACGGTCCGTGACATATGCCGGTTGTCTCGTTAAAAACCTTAGGCTAACAGAAAACCCAGTGGGAAAAACTTTAGCCAAAGGAAAAAAGAGTGCAACGCTCAGACATAGTCCGGTGGACCGAAAGGGAGCACCCGACCCAGTGGTCGAGCTCGCAACGCAACTTGCGAAAGGCCGAGCCCAGCCGGTTCGCGACTGGATTGCCGGGCACGACTGGGTTGCCGATTCGACTGCGACCTGGAGATCTACTAACCAACTATGGGGTTGGATCCGCTTGTGACCGAGAGATCGGATTCATTCGGGCGAAACGTTACTGGGCGAAGCGAACGTGACTCGGCCGTTTCGACCGACGAACGCTCTACTCGGGCAAACTAAAACGCAGACGAGCTGCTCGGGCCAGCGCAGCCCCCACTCCCGCAGGTGCAAGAACCGTCAGCACAAAGGAGTGGATACGACGGGTTACCGTCCGGGAAACGACATCGCGGTCGGGAAGTGCCTCGACCGGGTCCGCAATGTGAGTGCACCCGGCTATAACTACCGCGCCGACGATCGGGCACAACACCGCTAACGAGCGGTACACACACGTTGCTAAAAAAAAAGCGGCAAAGCATCACACAAAGATAGTAAACACATCGCTAAAAGCGGCATCGCCAAGAGGCGGTAAACACATCGCACGGCATCGCCTAAAAGCGGAAACAACATCGCTAAAACGCGGCATCGCTAAGAGGCGGAACAAGCACATCGCGCGGCATCGCCTAAAAGCGGAAACAACATCGCTAAAACGCGGCATCGCTAAGAGGCGGACAAGCACATCGCTCGGCATCGCCTAAAAGCGGAAATATCATCGCTAAAACGCGGCATCGCTAAGAGGCGGAACAAGCACATCGCTCGGCATCGCCTAAAAGCGGAAACATCGCTAAAAAGCGGCTCCGCTAAAAGGTGGAACAAGCATATCGCTCGGCATCGCCTAAAAGCGGAAATGTCATCGCTAAAACGCGGCATCGCTAAGAGGCGGAACAAGCATATCGCTCGGCATCGCTAAAACGCGGCATCGCTAAGAGGCGGAACAAGCACATCGCTCGGCATCGCCTAAAAGCGGAAATATCATCGCTAAAACGCGGCATCGCTAAGAAGCGGAATACATCGCTGAAAAAGCGGCATCGCTAAGAGGCGGAATACATCGCTGAAGAGCGATATATGCATCGCCGGAAAGCGGAATTCATCGCTGAAAAGCGGCATCGCTAAGAAGCGGTATCAACCGGTATAACCGGACTCATAGACCCGGTGGTGGCAATGCCAACCTAACCGGTCATAGAGTGCCATAACCGGACTCATAGACCCGGTGGTGGCAATGCCAACCTAACCGGTCATAGAGTGCCAGTGGTGGCGAGGCCAACCTAACTGGTCTTTAGAAACACCGGAGGCGGCAGTGCCAACCTACTCGGTCTAACAAGGCGCGTGGCTCACTTTCCCTTCTCGTCGGAGGTGGCAGTGCCGACCTGCTCGAGGTGGGAAAGCGCGTTGGACGACCGGGCTAATAGCCTCCAGGCGACCCCCATGCCAGCATCGCCTTACCCGGGCAAACGGGTTGAACCAGCCGCTCTAGGCCGACCAGGCGCATGGCCTCGGGCGACCCACATATCATATGTTATCCGAGCAGACGATTCGACCCGGCCTATCCAGCCCAGCCCCCCACTGTCGGACGTACTTAAGCATAAGGGCGTGTGACAGTGAAACTAGCGGCCGGGCGAACTTAGGGCGCGGTCTTCGGTCTTCGGGTGGGCCGTTTAGGACGGGATATTCCCGACCTTGGGCCCAAACTGCAGTCCCCGACTCGTGGGCCTTGGGACCTTTCTTCGTCTTGGGTTTGCTTCAAATGCTGCTTGGCCGTCACGATCGGGGGTTTCCCGAGTGCCGGCCCGAACCGTGATTCCCGGCCTCTGGGCCTTGGAATACTTCTTCAGGCACTGTTTGGCCGCCTCGATCGGGGGATTCCCGAGTGTGGGCCTAAACACTTCACGAGGGCCCGCTGCTTGGGGTGTTCCCGAGCATGGGACCTGTGGCACTCCCTTCCTATTTAGCCCCCACTGTGCGCGCTCGGGGCGCGAGTGAGTGCAATACTGGAGAGGAGCGGGCGGATCGGGGAATATGCCGTGGTGTCGACCTCCCCGATCGGCGATATGACCAGTCGATTGCCTCGCCCGGTCAAGGGTCAGTCGGCTATTAGAGCCGCAGAACTGAGGCTATTAGAGCCCGACTGCACACCCCTATCGGTGGGGACCGAGGGAGAGGAGTGACGGCTATTAGAGCCGATTTGGCTGCTGGGCAAGGCGCCCGTCTTCAATCTTCGGACACCGCTGTCGGTCGGAACCGAGGGAGAGGTGTGTTGGGCGAGGAGCCCGTCTTCAATCTTCGGACACCGCTATCGGTCAGAACCGAGGGAGAGGTGTGTTGGGCGTGGTGCCCGTTTTCGATCTTCGTTGGAGCGTCGTCCGATTGGTCTGGAGACCCAAATTTGCCTACGTGGTAGGGCTTGGTGCCGGGGCTCTTCCCGGGCTTAACAATGCCGGTGGTGGCGAGGCCGACCTGACCGGGCTCTTAGTGCCGGTGGTGGGAATACCAACCTAACCGGACCTATTACAATTTCTAAGTATAAATTACAAGGAATAAATCCTAATACAATTTATACTACGTAATACTACTATTATAAGATGACATTTAATCACCCTGGAAGTTTAATAATTCACAAATTCTTAAACTTGCTTTTATTTTTTCCAAAGTTTTGCATGCAGCCAGCTTTGTGTCACCATCTCTTTCCTTCCATTGTCTTGATTCCTGCGCTCCACCACCATCAGCCATTATTCTTTGCCTTTTGGGATTCCACACACCACCGCCACCATCAACGAATCAAAATGCATGCAAAGCTTCACCACCATTTCTACCAATAACACAACATGCAACTTAAAGCCTTTTTAATTTTCTTTTGCTGCTACATGTCGTTACTTACTGCCTTGCGACTACCCCTCTACCGCCTCCTTCGACTTGTGTTTTCTCCATGAAGAACTGGGAGAAATACACAAGAAGTGACATGGTGGACCTGGCGCTGGCAAGCGCGACGAGAAGATAGGAACTTGGCTCCGGCTTGAATGATCTCAGAAGCCTGATTTCCCTGCCGGCGGCGATCCTCTGGAACTGCGATGGAAAGGACGGTGGTTGCATGTGTGGTTAAACCTTCAAATCCCTCTCAAGCCCAAGTAAACCTTTTATTTATTTTGCTGGAATTTCTGCTGTGGATAGCCGATGAAGATGGCGATGGCGATGGCAAGCGAATGGCGCTGCACCGGCGGCTGATCGACAAAACACGGCGAGGCTGATCCTTTCGGCGAACTAACTCAGCGACGCATCGGAGCAGGTGTCCAAGATTGGCGGTTACGTGCGGCGAATGGCGGCCTTGGAATCTTCGGCCTTAATCGGGAGTGTGAGGATGGTGATTGAACTTCTGGTGGAAATGAAGTCTGATGGACGACTGACCATCTGCATGCAGTTGGTTCTTTATCCAGATTGTGCCTGGAAACAAAAATGGCCTCCCCTCTCTGGACATCCGCATGCAGGAGGGATCTGGAAGCAGCAAATTTAAATATCAGTTGCACCGGATCTCTTAAATGGAAAAGAAAATAGAAGATAAATAAAAAGGTAAAACGGTGGATTGATCGGAGCGCCGGTCAGGTAATCCGAGCGTCCAGGTTCAATCCCCACTTCATGTCCAAAATCTTCATTCCAGACTTCTTCGTGGATTTTTCTTCAAATTTCCAAAATTTTCCGTAGCGGCTTCAGCTCATTCTCTTTGATGGTAGGACCGTAGCTTCTTGTTTCGTTCCCCACAGACGGCGCCATTTGATAGTACTAATTCGTACCGTATACAAGGTGTATGTACTGGATGAATATGAATATGTATAAACAACAAGGAACAACACAAGAAATAGCTCAAATCCCTCCTTTATTAAACTTGTTCTTCTGTGTAAAATATAGAGAGAGGGAAGAGAGAAAGAGCTGAGAGTCAGAGAGAGGGCTCATGGCTCCAAATGGGCCAAAAGATCCCTTCCTCAAAGGGCTAGAAGCCCTTTTAAAGGCCCACTGAGGCGGCGGGTTTGACCCATCTCGGGTTTGACCCGTCACCTTTGACCCCGACCCGACTGCGAGCGATGGCACGGACCCGGGGTATATAACGTATCATATATATATATATATATATATATATATATATATATATATATATATATATATATATATATATATATATATATATATATATATATATGCAAGTACCAAAACTTAACAAATTTTTTACTAAAAACCATAATTCAATTTAATGAATAGCAACCTAAAACAATGGGTGTATTAAAAATTAATTTTAAAATTTATATACATATATTTTGATATTAATACAAAATATATCTAACTAAAATTAAAAAATCTTAACTCAAATTTAGTATGCATTTATAGAAAACTACATGATGAGCACCATTTTTCACCTACATTTGCCTAAGTAGAGATACATATATTTGTGCACCATTTTTCAAAAATACATTATTAATTTACTACAATTTTTATATAGTATACATCAAATAAGTACATTATGGTATATATAATAACATACAATATATGTTTAGTAAATTAAAGAATATAGTATATATATCATAACTAATAAGTCTCAAAATTGTCAACCTACTATACATTTGTATGTACAAAAAAAATGGCCCAAATCCTATATATATAAAGCTAACCTCACCTTACAGTATAGTAATTGACTTATTTCTTTATCGATCTCTGAGTTTGAACCCTAACCTCGGTAATTTAATTCTCCAAAACGAAACTGTAGTGGGTTTCTGATCTTCGGTTCTTAGGCTATGTTCATTTCATGATGTTGGTCTCCAGCCCTAATTCCAGAATCTGCTTAAAGAGAAGTTTAACTATTATTTTTTTTCTTTTCGTTAATCTATACTATGTAGTCATTAATATGTACTATTTAGCTAGGCATGTATATTTAAATCTAGATCTCTGTTAGATACAAACCCTGGCCTATGGCAAAAAACTGTAAAAGCACAGTCCATCTGCTTCAATTTTAAAATAATATTTTTATTCGTTTATTTCAGGTTCTAGTCATTTTCATTTCATAGGCAATTATTTTTGTATGAAGGTACATTATATAAAATAATGTATTAATAGTATATTAAAAATGTACCTTACGTATATAAATAACGTATTTTTAGTATATTAAAAATGTACTTTTTATTTATGGTTCACACAATTGTGTGGACCATGACCCATGTAATAATGATTGCCTAAAGTAAAAAAAAAAAAAAACAAAAAAAAAAAAAACAGGCACACAATTGAATTAAACAATTCGGCCTATATATATATTAGATTATTAAAGTCAAAAAGACAACTCTAAATTTAGGCCCAAAATCGTGACACAATAGACTGACACAAATAATCAATAGTTGCAACCCGACCCAAATGTATGGAGTATAAAAGTTGTCTCTGCTCTCATTTGCAGCCCTAACGCCGACTGTTCGCCTTCTTCTCATCTCTCTCGCTCTGTACTCTCGTTCTCGCAAACTTTGTTCGAAGCTCTAAAATTCAACGTCACATCTAAGCTTTCCGACCAATAAAATTGTCTTCTTTTAAACTTGAATGATAATCTTGGATCTAAAAGTGTCATAGTCATTTGAGGAATCAACACCCTAGTAAGTGCATGATCCTAACTTGGTGACAAATAATCTATACAATCTATATGTTGGAAAAAAATAGCTTAAAATGGCATAAAATGGCATATTAAGTGGCTATTTTGTGGTACGATTATCAGTGGGGTCCACTTCCGATTTGGGTCGGGTCAAAGTGGATTTGGGTTCTTCGTAGTAAGACGAAGATATTGATATATTGTACGCTCAAAACGGATAATGGGTGAATGAGATATTGATTCTCAAAGTAGACCCATTTGAATTGGAAAATGAAGGGAAAAAGTGAGCTTTTGTCCCACATTGGTTTGGGAAGAGGATTTGCCCCATTATTTATACATGAGCTCCTTTTAAGCTTATTGAATTGTATAGCATAGAGGCTCTCTCTTGCGCGCAAGAGGGTGCAAATCAAATCTCATAATGCATTTGAAAATTGGCAAACTTTGCGGGCTATGTTTCGGTATCATTTTCCAATTTAGCCATGAAACAATTGTTTCACTG